GTCTCTACTTACTATGCTGTACAGGGCGGGTGTACTTCTGTTCTTGTTAAGAATATCTATACAGATTAAAAACCAACATTTATTAATGCCAAATAAAAAAGGAAACATTTACATTGCCATTTTTGTACTCTCTCATTTGAGTAGCTCAAGTCATCAAGATCCTGCAAACTCCCCGAGAATTTGCTCCGCTCGGGTAGAATCCCACCCTTTTCCTTTGAAACTCTCCTTAACAATGTCCACAAACTTTTGAAGAAATCGCCTTCCATCCGATACAGAATTAAACTTCTTCGCACCACTTTCATCCACATCTCGTTTACCAAGATCCCCGCTTGTTTCCTTTTCAATCCGCCAGTGCCAGTAGCATAATTCACCAGCGTACATGAGAGCAAGCAGATGAGTGTCACTAAAGACACCTTGGATAAAACAAACATACGGTACAAAGTAAGAGAGCATGAAGAAAAGTGAGTTAGTCCCCCATATACACCTTAATCGTAAGGTAATCCCTCTCAAGTTATTATTACATCAATCTCGTTTTCTAAAATCTCAAGAGGGTCAAGAAACAGTCAACTTGTCCGTGACGCGGAGTTTGCTCACGTGGACAGCCCAAGCGGCTTAACAAGCATTTTCATCCTCCACGAAAACATCCAAATAACACACGTGGTAACATTATCCGCGGGAAAACTAGGTACCATGTCTAAAAATAACTTGAGAAAGATTACCTCAGAATTGAGGCTTATATGGGGATTAACTCTCTTACGCTTCATCCTCTCTTGGTATAATGTGCTACGTTCTTCACTAATAACAGAACGAGTCCTTCAAATACTGGCTAGCATCACAGACAGTCGTGAACAGAGACAAACAATGTAATATCCCCTTAACACAATGCAGAAGGGCTGAATCAAGGGCAGCACCTTTCTCTAAATCATGATGACTTGTTGATGGTTACTCTGATTATTCTTTTAAAAGTAACTTAACAGAATAACGTTTATGCCAAAGAATTTTGTCCCTCGGAATTCAATGAATTGGCAAGTTTTTCATTGATGGAATGAAGTTTCTTATCATGGCAAAACAAAATTTTTTCTGCCCTTGAACCAAGTTGCCAACATTCAGTGGTATGGCTAATTAATTTGTGGTGTCCAAAAGTAAAATTTGAAGTCTATGCAATAAATAAAATGTCAAAGAATCAATGAAAATCATCATTAACCTTGTCTCAAAAGATGCACCATATCAGCATCCTTCGTCTCGACATTTTCCTGTCCATCCAACACGACAGGCGTACGAACACATAACATTGACTCAAGATATTTGACTCCGGACTCAGCACACTGGATGGAGGAAACGAGAAATAATATGCAAATACATATCAGAAGAGAAAATGGGTCTTTTCATCTCCAGGCAACAAGTAAACCGACCTTTTTTCTCAAACAATTTGTAAGCAACGAAGGACCAATCTCCATTTTATGATTAGTAAAATATGCAAGAAAACTTTGAATATGAGCAAGTACATCGAATGAGTTTACCAAGTGAAAGTATTGCTCAATAGCTTTCCTTTGAATGGTTTCACACTAGGGTTTCATCCACAGGCTGAAAAGTTAGATCCACCTTGCACAGCATAATGAACAGAGCCTCTCAACTAATAGTCATAATATAAAATACACTGTATGGTGCTCATATACATGTAAGAAACAGACTTCATAATGAATTCACCTAATCAGACTATTCTATGTCACTGTCTTGTTTGTCACTTCCATTGTAGGGGTGTTAATTGGAAGATAGCCTGCTTGCAGACCTGTGTTTATGCACGCACAGTGGCATGAGTGGCGAAGCCACAATGCGACTCAGCTCTTGCAGCTTCACTGCTCATGTCCCAGAACAAGAGAGCCTGCTCGCAGGTTAATTGGAAGGTAGTGCTTATTGAAAGGGGAGCTTATTGGAATGGGGGTTCTTACTAAAACAAAATGCACTGACAGGGGGGACCCTTATTAGAAAAGCGGCCCCCATTGGAAGAATGTATGCATATTAAGTTGATCGTTGACATTGGAGGTAAACAGACAGTTCGAATGGTACCTTTTATACTGTATATGTAATAACTCAAGGGAGTACCTGCATAAGGTGTGCCATACTGTCTTGCCTTCTCTGAGGATCATTGAACAATGTGTGGCAGTACATGTAAAACAGAGCTCCCCGTCTCCACGAGAGACATTCCATTACTTCTGAACCTAGTACATCTCCAGCCTGTGGTGATATAAAAATAAATAAATTTATCCCAGGCTTTCATTACAATGACAAAATACCAGAAAGGGTAATTTTGAATCCAGCTGATCATCTGTTCAGGCCAGGTTGTCTCCTGCAGTAAACTAGCTGTAACTGCTTACCTTGCTTTCTGATCCAAACATCTTGTTTACTACTTCTTCAGGCTGGTCTAGTCTTCCTTAAATATTGGCAAAAATAAAAAAAGACAGATTGCACTTAGTCCTATATGTATATATACCAAATACTGCCAATAAATATCTGATCATTAACTTTAAAAGTAACTTACTAAAAATTATTACTGACTGCTGATGTAATCAGGGAATAGGAGCCTGCAAGTAAAGGGGGGTTACAACCAGGGGCAGATCTAGCGGGAGGGGCTGCGGGGCTGCCCCCCCCTTATTTTGGGTAAAAATAAAAAGAA